AAGAGTTCTTAGTTCAGTTTTTTAATAATTCTTCCACGTTTCTTCGCGCACTAGTCAGTGGATTCCCACGCATGTTCGGGAATCTAAATTAATGACAATTAACTGTTAGCWGCCGGTGAAAATCGCAATAAAATTTAATTGCTTTTCTTTGCGCCTTTTAATTTTCTGTTTTCTTGTTTTTCACACTTTGTTGTTGTTAATTTTTCAGTTCTCATATATAAACTTTTATTAATTAATTTTGCACACTTTTTTAATTTCATTTTCTCGCCGTTAATGAATTTCCGTAATGCTGCGCTACGTTTCACTAGCTTTTTTCGTACGCTTTGAGCTTTTAATTATGATTTATGAAAAATACCTGCTTTTAGAATGATTTATACCTGCTAACAACAAGCTATCGATTTAAATTTAACGGTTATCGATTTTAATTTCTCGATTAACTGTTTAAAATGTAATACATGAATATGTGGGATTTAATCTTGACCCTTAATCTCCAATCAGAGACAATCAGATTCATTTTACATAACATTTATGAAAAATCGGTTTAAAACTATCAATTATCGATTCAAATTCCGCAATTGTGGATTAAAAAATATAAGAAATTCAATGCAATTATCCATATAAGTTGAACGATTATCGAATAAGTTAACGATTTAAAATTATGAATTATCGATTTAAATATATCGGTTATCACTTTTAATTTCTTGATTAATTATTTAAAATCTATAACACGAATAGCTGGGATCTAAACTTGACCCTTAATCTCCAAATCTGTAATCACATAGTACAATCAAATTGATTTTACATAAYATTGATGAAAAATCAGCTTAAAAGTAACAATTATCGATTTAGAAGTATATKTTGTCGATATAAATGTATCATTTGTTGATTATAAAATATAAACTATCCAACTAAAAGTAGAAATTATCGATATAAATTGATCAATTATCGAAGTAAAGTTATCGATAACGATATTGATAAGAGTAAAAATTTTTAGGAATCAATTCAAGTGCTCTTTTATATTGTATAATATGTATATAAGTGTACTCTTAAATTATCCTTAAATTCGATTTGAGCACTCAAATGGTATTTTTAGAGAGGAACAAAGTTAAAAACAACGCAAATTATTTTCGGTATACATAACAGTTTTCATTAAAACCAAAATCGTTATACTGACTTGTAACATAGATTCTTTCAAAATAAAATAACACAAGCAAAATCTTCAATAACAGTAAAAGTTATGCAATTGTGTAAGACACGATTCTAAAAAATTGGTTTCGATTTTATAGAGCCACCTTAATGTACACACATCTAGCTAAAAATAAATAAWTTATTTTCGATACAAAATTCATAAAAGCTTTTCACACGCCACATATTTTTGAATTTAATTAACAATTTGATGTTAACATTTTGCCACGCATAAATAARTTTTATTTCCAAATAATCAAATTTTTTGTTTCCACGAGCCTCAAAGCTAAATGTCCGAAGTCAGTCTCTTTCAATGAATCATTGATTAGCGTGAAAATGAGCGGCATGCGCTTGTTATCTTTCAGCTTTTATTATTCATCGTCTAATATGCATATTTCGTTTTTTATTAAGCTTTGTGCTAACAGTTTTAGTGCATAAATTTTTTATAAGAATTTAACAACAGATCGTAAAAAAGGTTGATAAAAAGTACATTAGTGAAAGTGAAGCAAAAACAATGTTTTTGTTCAATTCATGATTGGAATGTGAAAAATGTTCAAATTAATTTTTTTTATCTTTGTATTTTAATATGCACATAATTTATTATGGGAACGCGCAATCAACGATATTAAATCACTCATACGCCCGGGTGGACGACAGATATGAATATAACATACAAGGGCTTCTATTYAGCTGGTTTCTTATATTTTGAGGTAACGGTGAACTTTGTATAAAAAAATTATATGAGCACAAAACCAACACTTTTTATATAATTTTAACTGCTAACCTAAAAATAAATTTAAAAATAAAAATATTAATGACTTGTATATGATATACACGGTATTAATAAGCATAAAACGTTAATTTTAGTTGGGCCACAGCTATAATACTCTTCACATTTGCATTTTTTATAACAATGAAGGGTATACAAAGATTGTTTTCTTGATCGCTCAATTTGTATGGCAGCTATACGCTTTAGTTGTCCGAAATGAGCAATATTTTCGCAGATTGCGGTGTGGTCTTTAGCAATCATTTTTGCCAAATATAGCGAARAYATCTTGTGAAATAAAAAATGCTTCCATACAAGCACTCGATTCTGATCGACCAGTTTGTATGGCAGCTATATGCTATAGTTGTACGATCTGAACAAGTTTTTCAYATATTGCATACTTGGCGAAATTTCATGTAGATATCTCATCAATTAAAAATTAAAAAGATGTCCATACAAAAACTTGGCTTGTTTGATCAGTTTGTATAGCTGCTATATGCTATAGGGCTCCGATATTAGCTATTCCAACAAATGTGTTGCTTCTTGAGGAGAAAATAACAGATGCAAATTTTTAGCTTGATATCTCCAAAACTGAAGCACTAATTCGCAGATATTATATATAAACAGACAGCTGAATATCATCGACTAAGCTCATCATGTTGATTATTTATATTATATATATTGATTTTTATATGTTATTCTGTAATGCCTAATTGTCCTTTAAAAATGTGGAATTACACCAAAACTCAGTTTAGGTACAATGAAGCACTGTTTTTCATATATTTTTCCAACCTTCGCTATCACATTTCTCTCCTCACCCATTKCGCTATTCACTAATTTTTCTCTCTTTTGTCATTTCAGCTCGCCTTAAACATCATCGCCTTAATTATTATTTAATTACACGAGTTTGCCGTAATCTACACGTTCCACTCAAGCATTTCGAAGCRCTCAATTACACCTGTGTTACTTTACTCCCTTGTTCTTGTTATTGTTGTTCTCATGTCATACAAACTGCTGACATGCTAAATTATGGAATTATTCAATTTTACACTTCATTTAGCGGCGGCTGGTCTCAACTCTTACGGATGCAGTATAAACTGGTGGCACGAGTTGTGGCCGACAGCTAAATACTTTTGTCCCGAGGGAGCATTCAAATTCACTTTGCACGTAATTATTTTAGTATTACGTAAAAATGTTTGAAAATTTAATCAGTTCGTTGGAACTAATAAAGTTGACCCTTTCACTTTAATTATAAATGTAATACCTAGTAAACTTATAACCGCATATATATATGCATATATACATATTACGTATACATATATAAATTGTTTGAGAATTTCACGGAAACATTATTTTTAAGATAATAAGACTATTAAATAAGATGCTGAAGTAAATTTCGTAAAAAAGCCACTGAAATATTTATGCTATGTGTATGTCATTGATTATCGGTAGTTTCATTTATATATCGATTTGCTGAYAACAAAAATAAGCGGTTCCCAGTAAAATTTGGTCATTCGTACAATGAGCTGATATTGACTCGAAAAACTTTTTGACAAAGCCTTTTTTATTTTCTGTGCTTAAATTGGCCTACAAAAATTCGAAACATTGGATCAAGTTCGATGAACAAAAGCACTGAAATAATCAAAATATTTTGAAAGGTTTTTGAGATCGCTTATTACTATCCAACAATTATGTAAGGTTAGGTTTCAACGTTTCAAAATGTCAGATCTAATTTTGCAAACACGATAATAATGAAAGCAATAGAATTTACTGAGAATATGGAGACTTAACGATCGTTGCAATAAATATTGAAAATTTTTTCTTTCGAAGGAAATCTTTTATCAATCAACGCAGTAAAAAAATATTTGTTCGAAAATATAATTTGAAAATTTTTTAAATTTGTAAATATTACCAAACGAAAAACAATTTAGTAAGCGCTTTTCGAATTCTATGAACTTTGGTTTGGTATTCAGATCACGAAAACAAGTTTTCAAAAATTCAAAAACGAAATACAAGGAAAACTAATTTCACCACGACGTTTTCTASTATCAGACATAGAAATTTGGAACTAAAATACGAATTTATGACTGATAATTGATTTTAATGTGCTCCGACGTCTGATCAAATTTGAACCGGACTGATCYATCTAAATTGGCYGCGCAAACCTAATCGATAAGAAATGTTTCCTTGTTTGGTATATACTAAAAATTTRTTATTTCCGTATGAAGTTTAATCTCCAAAAGTCAAATAGTTTTTATACGCAAAAAGTTAGTCTGCCGATATTTACCGTGTAAAAAAAATTAAGAGAGTGTTTGCTTGACATTTTGTGTTTTCAAATTACTAAAGTGTATACCTGATAAAGTACTCGAATGAGACAAAGCATATCATCAAAAACTTGCCTCAACCGAGTAGTCCATTCTCCTCTATTAATGACGATCACACCGAATAAGTGAAAGAAGCTGTAACTGAAAATCATCAGGTTGACATCAGAGTAATAGCAGATGATCTCAACATCGCTCATGAATCGACTCAACGTATTTTGGGTAATGTTTTGTGTATAAAATGTATCAATGCTTTACCTGAATCTATAGTTAAAACAACGCCGAGTTGAGCTGAGRTCCCTACCTGTATATACATCAAATRCCTCATTTTTGGTAACGAGAACATTTGTTTGACATTTCTTACATTTTCACTCTCATACCCTTGTCTCAACTACCTGACTGCGAAGCACATGTAATGATTACAAAAGCACAARTTTCCTGTGAACACAAACAAGTCACGGGCACAAGTACAAGTACAAGTAAACAGAGACGAAACGAAAATAGCAACAATTCAGAGAAAAAAGTATTCATGTGATTTAAATATTAACGGCAACAAACTCATTTACATATAGAAGTAGCTGCGGATGATTTGTGAAGCGCACTCGATTGTGCACGAGCAGCCGCACAAATCAAGCGGGATATGTGGGGGCGCCACGAATAAATTGATGTAACGACAGGCAGATAAGAAAGTCTTAATAGCAAACTTATATAAATGAGGACACACTTACCTTCTTACCAGCGTGAGCGTTGTAGGAAGCTGGACTCACACGCTGCCCGACGTCAAGCTGTTATGCAACAGATGTAACACTGACGCTTAGATAAGCTCCGTGAAAATTTATTTTATTATTATGTAATTTTATTTCTTTATATGCTGTTCTTTCTGATTCTTATTTACTTTGCTTTGTGTTTTTTGTTTACTTTTCTTGTGCTTTTTATTAGCTCTTCATTTCTTATTTTATTTTATTTTTTTTGGTTCAATTTTTTCTCTTTTGTTGTTGCACGTTTGACACTGCTTGCTGAAGTAGCGGCGCATGTCAGCAGGAGCTTTGTCGCTATTGTTCTTTTATCTTTTTTGACTGTAATATTTGTTGTTGTATTTTTAGTTGCTTGTAGATTTTTTGTTGGCTGCTCTTCCTGTCAGCTAATAACAAAATGCGCGCCTTTTCCGCTTAACACTCGGCTTTTGTCATTCTCTTCTACACTTTCCTACACATTTTCCTAGCCAATAATCTTTTCCGCACACGAAATCCTACTCTTTAAATGATTTCTCGCTTTTATTAAGAAAATTTTCCCGCTTTTTATATTTTGCCTCATTTTTTTTTTTTTTTTGTGCTCTGTCGCAAATCCGCCACGTCTAAGCGCTACAATAACAAAGCACATCAATCACATTAGCGCCAAGCGAGACGTGGACGTCGCCTTTGTCATTCTCAGTTRGTTACTGTACATATGTATTGCGCGCTGTGATTTGCTTGTTGCTTTATCTCACGCTCTAAATATGTTTCACTGCTTATGATATGAATTTGTTGTTGTTGTCGCAAAATTTCCATATATATTGTATAGTGGCTGAATGGTTAAAGGCAAATATTAAAATTTAGTATTCACTGCAAGCCTCAAAAGCACGAACTAAGCGCATAGAAGCATATTTATTCTTGTATGCGCCTTAAAGTATGCAAATGTAAACGAAAAGTGTAAGTGTGCGCTTGATTGCCGTTAGTGCTGTGATTTTCCTGCATGGCACACATACAAACATACATACATACATACATATGTACATATGTGCGTGTGCTTGTGCTGCTTTGTACACTTCACCAGCGCCTTGAAGCAGGCGCCAGCAGCCGCCACCGCTGCCGGCATCAAATTTACAAATGTTTTGGTTTCACTTTTCCTACACCCCCACAACAATGCGCACACATAAATGTATTATTTATTTAATTTCCTTTGTGCATATGATTTTATGTGTGCTTTTGTTATTATTTTCCGTCTTTGCTTTCGTTTGCAAAAAAAAAAAAAATGTGTTAAATTTCACTTTCAATTGGCAACTGTCATCCGGCATTTACAGCATTTATTGTCGCCAGCCACCACTTGCTGCTTGCTCTTAGTATATAAAAATCAAATGCATGCTTTAAAGSATTTGTTTGCACACATACAAGTATAAATATTTGCTTGCTTGTGCAACTCCCCAGCGTTTACYCAATTTCACTTAAACAAATTGCGCAAATAAATTGACACAGCATTTTCCGTCATTGTCACATTTATGCGTTTTATGTTGCATTTAGTGTAARTTGTCATTAAATGAATTTTGAAGCCGCCTTTGTTGGCGAAACCAGAAAATTAAATAATATTTAGCCCGTCAAGATATCTAATGGARCGAGAGGGAAAAAGGACGTGATTAAGATTTATTATGTGAATAAGAGAAAATTATGAAAAACTCTGTGCTTAGAGATTATGACGGCTTTTTCTTTCCGCAAATATGTGCCACAAAATTAAACAGTGAGGATTGGTAATTGCTTTGGGTTTAGTTGTCATTGGACAGGTGGGCATATACGTAACTTTTCATAAAAAATTCAAGCAAACTAAAAACAACCGTTAACTTTGGTTGTTTTAATAATTATATTGCCTAATAATATCCTTCACAGGTGCATTTCTTATAGTATAAAATGGTGTAAAAATATATTTAACTTGATTAAGATCGGTAAGTTTATATGACAGCTATATACTATAGTGGTCCAATTTAAACAATTGTCTGGAAATTATAGCATTGTATTTAGTAATAAGCTGTACCAAAATTCATGAAAATATCTCGTCAAATAAAAATGTTTTCGATATAGGTGTTTGGTTTAGATCGATCAGTTTGTAAGGCAGCTATAAGCTACAGTGCTTTAATTTGAATAGTTTCTTCGGAGATTATTGTGTTGGCCTGGGTTATAACTTCTGCCAAATTTTGTGAAGATATCTCGTCAAATAAAAAATGTTTTCGATACAAGAATTTCATTTTAATCGATTACTTTGTACGGCAGCTATATGCTTTCGTGATCAGATATTGAAGATTCTCACGAATGAGCAGTTTGTTGAGAGAAAGGCACGTGAGAACTTATTGCAACGGATGTTTTAAATAGAGGTACTTTTTTCAATAAACTTTTTTCAAAGACCACGCGTGGGTCGTGTCAAGCTGTCATGTAATTTTTTTTTTTTTTCAGTATTATTTAGCATCTTTTTTTTTTTTTTTTTCAGTATTATTTAGCATCTCATCATGGAACGACTTACGCCTGAATAACGTTGTAAACGTTCAACTTTATGAGGAAAATTTGAGAACTGAAGCCGCCCAAGCGACATCCCTTCGGTCTATAGGCTCAACAACTCGGCGACATTTGATTTCAAYAAGACCCAAGACCGCGCCACTCCTCCACTTCGCATCAATCAACGGATTTACTGAAGGAACACTTCGGTGAGCAGATAATTTCATATTTTTCCCCCATTATAGTTGAAGTTTCCGTGTTTTTCCTTTAAAAAGGTAGGTTTTTATTTAAGTTTTAGTTTCAGCGAAGTTTTATGCATCTCAAATGTACGATTTAGGTATTTTTGTTGGAACACCACATGATTTGTAATGAATGTCATCGGAATTATGTGACTTGATTTTTATTTTTTTTTTTTTTAATAACTCAGAAAATAACCGTTTTTTATTATTTTACGAATGCCACATATTGTAAAAAATTAAATTTCTATTTACTTTACTTTCTTAAATTTAAAGGGTGATTTAAAGCGCGACGAACTGAGCCAATTAAGCTATGTCCGCGAACATACGCAAAAAAGTCGCTGAGTTTTTGAGCTATCGTTCTGGAAATCTGCACATGTCCTTTTCCATCTAAGAAGCTCCTCATTTGTTGGAATCGCCGACACCGGACCACTCTATCATATAGCTGTCAGCCAAACTGACCGATCAAAATCCAGTCCTTGATAACTTGTATTTTGTTATTCGAGTTAAGTTTAAGTTTGCCATGACTGATTGCTTATGGGAACGCCGCAATCTGAGAACAAACTGCTTAAATCGGGCCACTACAACATAGCTATATGCCATGATCGATCAAAGAAAAGTTGCCATTAACAAAAAAAAATTTTACGATAATATATATTCACGATATTTCGCAAGGAGTTTTAGCCAAAAAACGGTCAAGTCCATAAATCGATTGCTCATATAGCTGCCATAAAAACTAGTCCATCAAACTCAAGTTCTTGTGCGGAAGTTGTTATACTTGTAAAGTTGATTATAGCTGTAGTCGAAGTTT